TCAAAATTTACAGATCGATAAAAATATGACTTAAATACAGTGAGAACCATATATCCTTTGATTAAAGAGAGGGGAATTTCTCTTCCGCGTACGTTTGTGAGTTGCTAATTTTGATAGTAACATCATGGGGTGACAAATTACTCCTTAATTTTCGCTCGAGATTTCAGCGTTAATTTACAATTTCACTTGTGAAATTACAAAATTTCCAACGCAACTTTGGCGCGAAATTTCTCGATACAATAAACAATTCAAAAACCTACGACTGTAAGCGTAGTTTGTCATCCATGATATTAAAAGGTAATCAAATGGTATACTCGTAAAATTAAGAGATCATTTCACTTGCGTTTTGTCAAAATACTAATAATTTCCCTTGACTAAAGGCTCGCAAATTTATTAGAATTTCACAGAACGCGTGTGCAATTATTTCTTTATTTCACTCGTCGCCATGTCAGTACTCATATCAATCTTGACTTAAACTATAGAGTCGGGCAAACGCCGCTGATGATCTTCTAAAGGCAATGGATGACTTTGGTTCTCAAGTTAGCAGTCAGCTTGATGGTTCAGTTACCTCAGCACCATTGGTCATTTTCTCAAAGAACATCGCTTTCAGAGTTGATCGTGTCAATTCCAGAAAAACGGTGAGTCTTTTCTAGTTTATCACTGGTAACAGACCTTTATTAATCATTTTCTTTCAGGAGTTGGACTTTACTGGACTGATTACCTTTTTCAACGAATTCGATTTCTCAGAAGCTAGTCACGCTTTAGAAGACAACTGGCGCATACTTGCTGTTGGAGCTGAGCGTGCATTAATTTTTTTCTGGCACAGTTGGAAATTATAGAGTTCGCATGTCCCGGATGTTGTGTTGCCTGCGCAACCACTGCATGCAACTTCTCAAGCGTAAATATTTTCATTTTTTTTTTTTTTTTCATGCTATGTTCTAATCCAGAAGATGATGTTGCTACGTTTTCTAAATTATGTACTTTTGAGGTCTAGACGCAATCTGGTCTCGCCCCTGCGTCCACGAGCAGTTTTTCTAGACCTCAGGAGTGCATCAGTTTCTTATATAAAATGTCGAATTATTCTCGTATTTTGATTGATTGTTACTTATGATCTGTAGGAGGACAGACGTATAGATGATGTTACTTACAATTTTTGATTTTCTTTATTTTACACTGACAATTGGATTCCTGTTACTACGCGTCTGGTCAGTAATAGATCATAGAGGATGTCAAAATGTGGTAAGAACATCAGTGACACACTCAGCTAACGGTTCCTGTGCCACTTTTGTGTTCTTAGACCATTCTGACGTCATCTGTGATCTATTTCTGAACAGACGCACGGCAACGTGGAATCTACTTGTCAAAGAGAGCATGGAACACCGTCTTCTATTTGGCAATTAAACGTCTGGTTTCGTTGAGGAAATCAATTTCATTTCAATTCGCAGCTCAACATTGACTTGTCCCCTTATGGCACGTCACTGTCTGTTCCTGATGCAGTGTTCTCTGGCACGAAGTCAAGTCGAGTATCGGCCATTGTATACAGAACACTTCACAACGTTCTCAGACTTCGGAACGAGGAATCTGGTAACGATACGAGTGGTTCAAACATCATTTCTGCCACAATCTTACCTCGCCCCAAGAATCCACTGAGAAAAGAAATCAAACTTGTTTTTAATCACACTAAGCAGGTACTGGTCATTAAGTATTAGTAGCTTTAGGTCGCACTTAAGCTTTTAATTTAATGGTACATGTGAGTTTAAGACCCTTTTTCTCGCAATGTTCATAAAAAAACGAAAAAACAGGACGAGACCAGTATTCAGCCATCTCTCCCGAACAAGCTTGGTCAGTAAAGGATTTATTACATGGCATTAGAATACGTGCATATTCTTACGGGCGCATCAGGCAATACCGCGTGATAGCTCTATCGGGCCTGCGCCAATCACAGCCCAGGATTTGCCCACCTTACACACTCGCCATACCAGCCATCTAATAAATGGTATTTAAGAATTAAGAAGTTTATCCTTTTGCGCGCTTTCACGATTAGCATGGAATACAATTCACGTTTTTGTTAGTTTCGTTAATAATCCACTAAACACTCTCATGGTAACTTTCTTCCTCAGCCAGTCAGTCAGTTCCAGGAACTGATTAGGGCATGGTCAAAAAACAATCTCTGGGCAGTAGATGTCCTTTTTGTTTTCACATTAGTACGTTCCTTTTCCATGGTGTTGTAATGGTAAATACAGTAGAGCGTCAGTCAGTGACTCAGTCAGTCAATCAATCAGTCACTCAGTCAGTAATTCACTCTGTCAATCCGTTAGTCAGTCAGTCAATAACTCAGTCAGTTAGTCGGTCAGTCAGACAGTCCGACGATCCGACAGGCGGTCATTTAGTCATTCAGTCAGTCAGCCGGTCAGTCAGTTAGCCAATCAGTCAGTCAGTTAGTCAGTCAGTCAGTCAGTCAGTAAGTCAGTCAGTCAGTCAGTCAGTTAATCAGTCAGTCAAGCAGTCAGTCAGTCCGTCCGTCCGTCCGTCAGTCAGTCAGTCAGTTAGCCAGCAAAAGACCATGATCTCACCTCATTTTCTCTTGTTAACCAGTCAGTCAGCCAGTTAGTCAGTCAGTCAGTCAACCAGTCAGTCAGTCAGTCAGCCAATCAGTCAACTAGTCAGTCAGTCAAACCGACCAGTTTGCTCGACGCTATTTTTCCTCTAATATCTTCATGTGTAGTCTCTGCCTTTTTACGGAATGATTAAGTTTTCACTGCTTCTCCCTCTCTTGCAACCCGGATTTAGCGTGTCTCACTTTAATTCCTTGTGAATACCCTTGATTGCTGGTGGCTCCCCCACAATTTGTTGTATTATTTGTGACCATTACTTATAATACGGAAATGTTTTCTATCCGGTGATCATTCAACATTTTCTCTGGACTTAAACAAATTTATTTTTAAATTAATTTTTCCAAACTCAAATTAACAATGTATTTCTGCATTCCTTTTAATTACAGAGCGGTGATTCTGTTGGAGAGTGCGTGTTCTGGGAAATTGGACTATCACAACGGACGTGGAACACAAGTGGCTGCGAGCGGGTAGAAAGTGAATCGAACGCGCGCGTGACCACGTGCCAGTGTGACCACTTGACGATCTTCGCAGTTTTGTTCAACAATAAGCCGGTAAGAATATGCTTCGTAAACGTTGCAATCTTTCAGTTCCTCTTTGCTCCAAAAATCTATTCTCTTTACTAGTTGCTCTAGTTTCCTGTCAATATACGTTGTGAGAATGTTATACTGCATCCACACATTATGCACTAGCTTATGACTGCTTTTCTCATCTTTTCTGTATCCACTTAGACTTTGCTTTCACGAGTGTCATAATTTTCCAGCGAAAGAGTGCGTGATGCGCGTGACTAGCCATAAGAACCTCTGACTAATGAAGTAGCTGCCTGCAATGTATTTCAAGTACCCCATCCCCTTCCCCACCCCGCCTCTGCACCAATCCTCTACCGGTCAAGCATCCAAGATGGCGGCATCGAAAACCCGATTTATTATCTAGCGTTCCGTTCCAAAGTAACGCCTGCACTGCGGGCTAACTCTATGATTTTTCAAGTCTTAACAGGTTTCTTCTCCATATATATTCCTTTTTAGGGAGAAGCTCCTGATCCCAGTCAGCCGTACCTCAAGTACATTTCCATCATAGGCTGTGCATGCTCCTTGTTGTTCCTTCTACTGACTTTTGTTGTGACCGCGCTGTGTTGGAAGCAAGTGAAGAGTGCTCGAGTAACTGTGTTACTGAACTTGTGTACTGCAATTGCTGCGTCTTGTGTTTTGATCATTCTCGCTGATTACGCACAAAAGCCAACGGTAATTGAAAAATTTCATATTTAAAAAGTGCTTACTGTAGCACAGAAATACCGAACAAAATCAAAATATATCAATAAAACAGAAACCAAACAGAAACAGAGACCAACGACGCGCGGTACGGGTCAAGTTCCAATATAACACGGGGTATGGTCAGGAGATGGGCTCCTGGTATGGTAAAACCACTCGTCAGTCGTTGGCTAACTCTCCCTTGTGGAGAGGTTGGTTCTGTAGTTTGGGGACGCGCTTTAGTTGCCGTTGCCGTTGTGGAGAGGTGGCCGTTTAGAGAGGTTAAAATAAGATTGAATGTATGAAGCGTCCGCCGGGACAAAAAAACAAGTGGCTTTTGTACAGAGGTGTCCGTTAGTGGAGGTTCAACTGTATTATTACAACGCCATTTTACAGAAAAAAAAAAAAATCAGGTCACTGCCGCAGTGATCTAGGTATTCTGTAAGGTCACTGCCTCATTGATCTTCTATGTAATGCAACAAGTGTTCTTTTCCTGTAGGTATTGTGTACCGTCACTGCCACCTTACTGCATTATTTCTTATTGTGTGTGTTTGCCTGGATGCTCTGTCACGCCGCCATCTTCTACTTTCTGATCATAAAGGCTGAACTGAGAGCAAAACTCCAGCCACAGATGAAATGGTTTTACGCTTTAGGGTGGGGTAAGACAACGTTTCTGCGTTGCATCCTCGAATACTCAAGCTGGCCTTCAACCAACGTGATCCGTTACCTCACTTTTTAAATTTCGTTCGTTTCAGGTTTCCCTCTGCCAATAGTGGCTGCTTCATTAACAGTAACACTAACTGGTACCAAACCTCGTGCAGCGGACAACTGCTGGCTAACAGTAGAACATGGGATCATTTACTGGACGTTTGTCGCTCCAGTCGCATTAGTTGTCCTTGTAAGTATACTCCGATATCACGCCTGACACATGGGTTCGAATCGCGTTCAAGCCTATATTTATGTTTTTTCGGGCTTTATTTTCACAACTGCTACTGTTTAAATTGTGTACATAGCCACGATGATCATCATGCTTTACTACTTTTCTCTTCTTTCCAGATCAACTCTGTTTTGTTTATTTTCTTGCTGCGTCGCATCGGCAGAGTTACAAAATTCAGAGAAGTCAACATGGTACGGGCTAATCAGGTGAGGGCCTGGATCAGACGCTCTGCAATGCTCTTGCCAGTGTTGGGTATCACGTGGTCTTTTGGCTTCCTCACGTTCGTTTCATCCACTGAAGTGTTTCATTACCTTTTTACCATCTTAAACAGCTTACAAGGATTTTTTATATTCCTCACCTTTTGCATTCTCGACGATAGGGTAAGTTGTCAGACTTTGATCAGTTTCGTCGTTGTAAACGCTTTTGTGTTTGGAACCTCGGGTTCTCCTTAAAGGGATTATAGATTATAAAATTTTGATGCTAGGAAGATTCGAAGGAAAAATTGGCCTGGCTCACGATTACGATTCTCCCCGTGGAAATACAACCAGCGTGGGGTGGGGGCTACCTATTCTGGACAATTTGTAAAATTTAAACTACAAAGGCAAGAGAGAAGAAAAATCAGTATTAAGTTGTGACAAGAACCACAAGGAAGGTAGTCCTTTAAACGCGGTGTCTCAGTCTGGCTGTCACTCAAGTCGTCATGGAACGATTCTTTTGGAGAATTAGGCCTGCTAAACAAGGTCGCAAGAAGCTTGGGTATTCACTTTGGTAGGAAACAAACTTGCACCCAAATCAGTGCGAGTTTGTGGCTTTGCCCACCGAACATGACCGTGTGGGACTAAATCGTGGACGTGAAACAGGTCTTTTGCACCTTTTGTGCACGGTCACGCCCATTTGGGAGAAATCTTGCGAGTATGTCTGGGCTATGCACCCAACCGCAAGTGTGCACCTGAGTTCAACTTGCGACCGCGTTTACGCCTCGTTCTGGTTAAGAGCGTGCGCACTGCGTGACGCCCGAATTACAGGTAAACATGGGGAACATCGTATTCGACAAAAGGATGGATTTTTCCAATCTCCGCCAGAACAACCTTATTCGCATAGTCTTTCCAAGACCTGTCTATCTTCGCACGAGGTTGCGTCAAAAGTGACTTAAGTTGAGGTTTATTATTGGGATTTTTTC